AGGTCTTACTAAGCTGACTGTCTTGGTCTTCTCCTAACCTTCACGTAGGGATGGGTTTATAGGTCCATTTTTGTTTCTCTTAGTTTCTTATTTTTTTCAACTTAAGTTTGGTTTCTCACAACTCCACATGGGTTTGCAAATGCCTTTAAAAAAAAATCCTCCTCAAAATTATTCAGCATTTCCATATAACTCTGTTCTAATTTTTGTAATCAATTTTGTCTAATAGACTTTTTTGCTATTTAATGCACATATGTATGATATTTCCACTACTATCAAGTTGTCTATGCATTTTTGTATAAGATGCCTGGCTGGAATACTGCATTGCAAAATTCAGAGAAGCACCACATTTCAAAGGATGGCCTTGTATTGCTTCAGAAAGTGTGAATTATGTTAAGTTCAGCTTTAAATGTGAGCTCAGTTTAATTTAACTCCCATCCTCACCTTTATGTACTGCAATTTGTATATGTTCTAAACTGCTTTAGAGTGATACAATAGAAAGGAGAAACATAGGCGCAAATTCTTAAACAAATATAAACCTGGTTTTGTTCTTAATCTCTGCCTGATTTCTCTTCCACAAAACCTTCAGTTCCCTTGTTTTGCTTGCCCTTTACTGTAATGCATCAAATCTATATTCAGCATATCAAGTGCCCAAATACATAATCACCTCAATCACTGCAACAGTCATAAGGACAGAATTATAATCCTCATGTTGCAGATTGGAGTGGGGGAGGTTTGAAGAATGAGAGACTAACTAGTGGTTTGCAAGTATGGTAAAACAGCTCACATGCACAAGTGTTCACAGTGAGTTTTAATTTCATGGAATGTTGCAAGATCACGAACATGCTATTAAGGGAGTCTAGAGTACCAATGTTTACTTTCAAACTCTCTGTTTGGTAAAGTTATTATTATGGCTGCATTGCTTAATTTATGAATTACCTTTTACATATGCCTCAGGGTGAGTTACAGACAAACCATTAAAACAGCTTAAAACAGTTTTAAAAACAGTATGAAATCTAGTTGTGATCTAAGCCTCTGTATATTATCCTGGAATTAACCACCGATCTCTGTTGAGCCTTACTTCCAAATAAAAACACCTAGGATCAGGCTGCATGCATATCTATTTAAGAAAGAATCAATGATGGTAGGTTTTGTCTTGCTTGAAGGGCAGATGAGATATATTCACATATCCAACGTTACTTTTTTATTTTGCTTCAGGTTGAATATATTATAGACATAATGTAGCTCCTTAGGGAAATGTCAACTCAGTTCACAACACAATGAGAACAAACTGAAGCAAATATCCTCTTGTGCACATATCATTCCCATAATGATTACCTCTAATTCCTGGGTTGCTCCCACACAAGTCCAGTGAAGAATTCTGCATATGCATTTCAGTGTCCTCAAGCGGTGAAAAACCATGCATGGAACTGACCACATGAGCAGTAGCGGATCAAGAAAGGTACTACCAAGCCCCAAAGGAAGCCAGTAATGAGCAGAGGCTAGGAAGCTATTAGAGGCAAGAAGGCTTCCTTCAGAAAACAGAAGACTTGCCCAATTGGGGATAAAGGGGGGGGGGGAGAAGCACAAGGGAACAATAATAAATGGCTGCAAAAAAAATCATTTGAGGAGCATATTGCTAAAAAAAAATCATTCAAAATTTAAACATTATTTAAATACATCAGAAACAAAAATTAGGAAGACAGGTGGTCCTTTGGTGAGGAAGGGAAAGGAGTGCTAGTGAAGGGAGATTTATAAAAATATGAATTAATAAATTGCATTTGTCTTCATTGTGGAGGATGTGGAGCAGACACCTGGTGCTCGAATGGATTATTTTCCAGCAAAGGGGTTTGAAGAGCCAAGGCAGATAGTGGTTAAAAGAATTAAAATTCTAAGACTTGTTTACAAATTGAAAGTTAAAGGTGGCATTCAATGAAGGTTTGCTCCAAGACCCACTGAAACTAATAAACATGATTAAGTTAGGATAAGGACTTTTTCCCCCCAGCCAGAACTCATCAGAACTCTGTTCCGGTACCTCTCAAGTGGGCGCCGTTGCCATTCTAAGAGAACAAGGGAGGCATTCATGATGAGTCCTGGCACCTCTTTTTCTAGAAAAATAGCATTGGTTAGGACCATTCATTTTGCTGGGTCTACTCTGCATAAAACTTAGGTGAATGCTATCAGGTTTCTACGGTTACACTACATATGGCAACACTAGATAGTGAGCAGTTAAACGTCAGTTTCTGAAATAAACCCTTTTAGATTGGATCTCCACCACAGCAACAGAAAGCAGCCCAAAGATGTTTAAATGGGAAACTTCACTGAGCATGGGAAAGTCATAAGGCAAATGAGAGCCGATATAACAAGGGAGCCAGTGTGCTGTAGTGGTTAAGAGCGGTAGTCTCGTAATCTGGTGAACCGGCTTCGTGTTTCTGCTCCTCCACATGCAGCTGCTGGGTGACCTTGGGCTAGTCACACTTCTCAGAAGTCTCAGCCTCACTCACCTCACAGAGTGTTTGTTGTGGGGGAGGAAGGGAAAGGAGACTGTTAGCTGCTTTGAGACTCCTTAGAGTAGTGATGGCTTTCCCAGTGGTGATGTATGGAAGTGAGAGCTGGACCATAAAGAAGGCTGATCGCCGGAGAATTGATGCTTTTGAATTATGGTGCTGGAGGAGACTCTTGAGAGTCCCATGGACTGCAAAAAGATCAAACCGATCCATTCTGAAGGAAATCAGCCCTGAGTGCTCACTGGAAGGGCAGATCCTGAAGCTGAAGCTCCAATACTTTGGCCATCTCATGAGAAGAGACGACTCCCTGGAAAAGACTCTGATGTTGGGAAAGATTGAGGGCACAAGGAGAAGGGGACGACAGAGGACGAGATGGTTGGACAGTGTTCTCGAAGCTACCAGCATGAGTTTGACCAAACTGCGGGAGGCAGTGGAAGACAGGAGTGCCTGGCGTGCTCTGGTCCATGGGGTCACGAAGAGTCGGACACGACTAAACAACAACAGAGTAGTGATAAAGTGGGATATCAAATCCAAACTCCTCCTCCTCCTCCTCTTCTTCTTCTTCTTGGGAAGGGCCCTGCAGGACAAGTCTGGATCAGGCCAGTGACCCTACTAGTCCAGCAGAGTGGCCAACCAGATGTCTTTGGGAAGCTCAGAAGCAGAACCTGAGTTCAACAGCTCTCCTTCCCCCTGGAATTCAGAAGCATATTGTCTCCAGCAGTGGGGGCAGAACATAGTCATCAGGATTAGTGACCACTTAAACTCCATGAATTTGCCTATTCCTCATTTAAAGCCATTCATGCTGGAATACCCTCTGGAATACCTCTGAATGACCCACTTGTCATGTTATCGTGGTAAGGGGAGAATAAATGAGTGGAGGAAATAGGATTCCAGGTTAAAGAAAGCCACACATTTATGTAGATGCAACTAAAATTCAAGCCTTTTATCATCCCTATGCTGTGGTTTGGGCTTGCGTTTTCTTTCTATTCATAAGACTTTGGACCCCGAGCAAAAATGAATGAGAAATGATTGATTTCTCTGAATATTTTCTTTCTCTTTCTTCTTCAAGCAAGACAAAACATATCATGGTCTTAATGGATAGTCTCTCGTTCTCTCTGTGTGTGTCTGGGCTATTGAATAAAACATAGACGGCTCGGGCGAATGTTAATAGGTTATTTAATCCATGGAGTTTGGACACGCAACTGCTAACATGTTGGCTTTCATTTACAACACTATTTGGCATTTTAGGTATCCTAAGAAATGAACACCTGGCATTAATAACTTCTCAGTATTAGAAAACACACACACACAATGGAACTACAGCTCATTGTAGGTGGCAGCTGTGTTGCTAAATAGGAGAGAAAGGAAGAGACTTCTCCACAATGATACCAGCTAGATTAATTCTCAGCAATGCTGGACCTGCTTTCATTCAACCTGCATAATGCATTGCCTTGTAACAATAAGTTGCTTTTGTGCAACTTTTGTGCACAGTCTTCTAATATTTAGCTGCATTTGGTAAATGAATAGTCATATGAACAGGCTTCCATCTCCTTTCTTTGCTGTTTGTTTCAGGTTAATCACAGAATTATGGCTGACTGGGGCAACAGCTCTCATTTCGGGACCAGATATTATGGTGCTGAATGTCTCAATGACAGGAGGCAGGAGGGACAACCAAGAACTCTTGTGCTCAAATCCTGCTTGCTGCTTTTCCACAGGCATCTGGTTGGCCACTGTGAGAACTGAATGCTTGACTCAATGGGCCATTGGCCTGATCCAGGAGGGACTTATGGTAGGAAGCTTCCTTAATAATCAGACCATTTTGCATGGTGGTTTATACTGATTGGAACTGGTTCTAATGACCATTAATGTACCATGGGATGAATTTGGGCTTTTGGCAAATGTCATGATTTTAGTTTTCTGATAGTTAAGTTCTAATTTGCCCTCCAAGGGACATGGGTGGCGCTGTGGGTTAAACCACAGAGCCTAGGACTTGCCGATCAGAAGGTCGGCGGTTCGAATCCCCACGACGGGGTGAGCTCCCGTTACTCGGTCCCTGCTCCTGCCAACCTAGCAGTTCGAAAGCACATCAAAGTGCAAGTAGATAAATAGGTACTGCTCCGGCGGGAAGGTAAATGGTGTTTCCATGCGTTGCTCTGGTTCGCCAGAAGCGGCTTAGTCATGCTGGCCACATGACCCGGAAGCTGTCTGCAGACAAACGCCGGCTCCCTCGGCCAATAAAGTGAGATGAGCGCCGCAACCCCAGAGTCAGCCACGACTGGACCTAATGGGTAGGGGTCCCTTTACCTTTACCTTTACAATATATTGCTAATGCTTTCATAGCTCTTCTAAGACCTATGGGTATTCTTGAAGGAATTGCTGCATCATCTGCATGCTGTACAGACCCTACAAGTTCTAGTTACAGGTAGGTAGCCATGGTGGTCTGCTGTAGTCGAAACAAAATAAAAAAAAATTTCCTTCCAGTAGCACCTTTAGAGACCAACTAAGTTTGTCATTGGTATGAGCTTTTGTCTGCACGCACACTTCTTCAGGTATCTGGTATCTGGTATCTGAAGAAGTGTGCATGCACAAGAAAGCTCATACCAATGACAAACTTAGTTGGTCTCTAAGGTGCTACTGGAAAGAACCTACAAGTGTCCCTATTTTCCAGGGACAGTCCCGGATTTGCAGAAGCCGTCCCAGTTTCTGATTTGATCCTGGAATGTCCCACCTTTCCTTAGAAAGTCCCTATTTCCATTGGAGAAATGTTGGAAGGCATGGAGTTATCTGACCCCTGAACCATCTGAAGGCAGTCCTGTAGGGGGAAGTTTTTAAATGTTTGATACTTTATTATGTTTTTATATATGTTGGAAGCCACCCAAAGTGGCTGGGGCAACCCAGCCAGATGGGCGGGGTATAAATAGTAAAATTATTATTATGGAATAGGACGTCCCTGTTTTCATTGGAAAAAATATTGGAGGGTATGTATACATCCAGACAAAGTTAGTTTCCAATACCCATCAGTCACAGCCAAGGATAATGGGAGTTGTAGTCCAGAAACATCTCTGGTACAGGACAAGTATCAGATTTCAAGATACAGTTGCGTTTAGTGGCCATTCTGGCTGTCCTAGCAAAAGAGTTGAAAAGGGGATTAGAATGTAGTTATAAAATTGTGAGAGAAACATTACCAGCACCATGCAGCTGCTCAGAAATCTGGATAAGCAGGTGTGCTTTTTCTCCTGGACTTGCCACATGGCCACAGATGGCCACTTCATGGAGTAAAGGTTACCATGCAATAAATCTCCATCCTATAGTGATCTCTTTGGAGAAGGAATTGACTTCAGAGGCATCTTCTTCCATTTTGAAGCCATCTATGTATATCTATCATACTTAAAAGGCACTAGTGAGAAGGCCCAGGCTATGATTACCTAATTAACATATGCAAATGCATGTAACTTGCATAAACAGGGCTCCTGGGGGAATTTCTATTAGGAGGATGAACTGCATAGAGGGTGACAGTCTTTTTAGTGTCATTAGGGTAAATGAGGTGGTAATGGGCTGTGCAGATGATGGTAAAGTCAATAATTTATTTCGCACTTCTCACTGGGGTGGCTTTTACAAACAGCCAGGATCCTTAATTGAAATGTAAATGCATGATAAATTAGGAAGAATGCCTTGTGAAAAGTGAAATAAGGGGAAATGTAGGAGCTGAGGAACTTCCAGTAAGGATTTTAAGAGGACAAAGGACTATAGGGGGAAATGCAGGCTCTCGTTTGGTCAAAGGGATACCTTGGTTCACTTTTATATAGTCCCTGAGACCCATGAAAACTCCAGAAGAAAGGCTAGGCTGAATCCCACTCTTTCTGGATTCTGCTTTAACTATACTAGGAGAAAGTCTTAAATTACTTATGAATTTGGAGCATGTGTAGTTTACCATGATTTTCAGTTCCTTTGAATCCCTGCCACATACTACTGGGCATGTGGAATGATGATAACACTTTCTCTAATAACAGTAATATCAATGGAAAACAATCAAGTAATATATCAAGAAATATATATAAGACTTTTATTTTTTCCCCCCAAAAAACATTCAGTTAGGATCCATAAGGTTTTCAGTGCACTTTGTCATTGCGAAACCTAACATAATCTCACCAGCATTCAGGGTAAAGGAATGTTAATAAAGGAATGCACAAATCAGCTGTAATTTAGAAAAGGGTATGTTGCCGTAACTGATGCTGAAAGACAACACCATGCCCAACAACAGCTGTGCTCATCCTGCTGCGTCTCTGGATGGAAAATATGCTTATGGCAGCCTCAAGGGACCTGGGCTGAGATGCATGTGGAAGGTGCAACAAGGATGATTCCCCAGTGACAATAATTGGAGGTGACAATTAACTCTGGACTATCTCTCCAACAAGGCTGTAGACTGTGTCTGGTCCCAGCTGCTTCAAACTGCAGGTGAGGCTCATATGAATGTTTCTTCTTGTCTATCATAGGCAAAGGGCTCATCCATTCTTCCTTTTGTGCCACATTTCTGGGCTTTAAAGCTCCATATCTAAGTGTTTTGTTGGGTTCTGGGTTTTCTTTTTTTATCCCGACATTTCACCCATGTTTTACCACAGTAATCATGGTGGTTCACAGCATAAAATTACAATATAAAAACCACAACATACATAATAAATATAAGAACAAAAGCAAACCAATACCACCACCTCCAGCAAAAGGAAGTTTGGTTGAGTTCATAGAAGATCAGATGTTGTGGACAAGCTTTCTCCCCAACATCTAGTTATCCACATACAATGGATTTCTATTTTCTTCTGTTTGAAGGAATCTTCACTAATGGGTAAATGGTCCATTGTTCATTCATTTATTTGGCTCAGATCCGGCTCAATTCCATGGGCTCAGACCAGCTTAAAGCAGGCGGGGTTTTTTTGTCAGTTTTCTAAATGTTAATACTCCTATACCCTAGGGGGCATCAATCTAAGGGAACTGAATGGTTTAGGAAATAAAGGATGCCAAATGAAATGGAAATGGCCCTGGGAACATAAAATCTATTCTTTAAACAACAACAACAAACCACCCATACCATAACCAGTCCAAAAAGCCAATCACACAAATGATAATGCTTTCTGTGGGAATCCACCACCTCAACGTGTATTGATAAAGATGTACTGCAGAGTTAAGTGGGATGGGTGATGGCTTCTCTGGAATGTAGCCCAGAAAGTAGGGTTGGTCAGATCAGTCTGTTTCTGGCCCGTACGCTGCCACATGTACTCATTCATCATTTTGTTCTGACTCGTTTTGCATTGCAGTGCCCACTGCCAAGGACAAATGATGGCCTAAGAAAGGTGGAAGCCAATATGGGATTCAATAGCAGCCTGGAAGCTGAGGCAAGGCTAGTTCAGAAAAAATGTACAAAGCCTAGGGAGCTGGTTCAGGACCATGGTTAGCAGAGAAGACAAATTGTTTTAGCAACCAACAGAGTTTTATAGCCTGGACTAGGTATTCAAGATGAAAGCCTTGTCCCATGAACAGAGTATCTGGCCAGTTAAAGGATTGGTACATTTTCCCTGTACCTGTTGGCTTCTTCTAGGCCAAATTATTTAAACTACGTGGGACTTCTATGGGGAAAGTGTCACAGGTTTCCTGCAAGGCGTCATGGTCCATTGACTGAGACTGTGGTGATAGAGGATTCTCTTCATGGGGCAAGATTTGGGTTCTGGTGCCAGCAGAGGCACATGGGAAGGAGCAGGAAGCAAAACCTTCTGCTCTGCCTCAGGGCTGCTATATCTGAGGATTACTGATCTGGCAGCATGATACATTTCAATCTGTATTTTAAATGGAAACCATTATTTAAACAGCCCCATAATGACATATGGCTAACCTTCAGCAGGGGCAAAACTAGACTTTAGTTCACCCTGGTCAAAAACCCAGTTTGGCACATTCCTTTTGCATTTGCACACACACACACAGAATCTGGGAGCCTCAATGGCTCCCCTCTGGAGGCTTCACCCAGGGCAAAAAAACCTGGCTAGCCCCCACCGCACCCCATAGCTACAGCTCTGCCTTCAGTCTGATGAGTTGGTCATTACACTAAACACAGATACAAGCTGTCTCTACACATGTACAAGTGTTTATGTGATAGATTGTACCATGTGCACATAACACGTGAAGACCTCTGGAGTCAGAAATGAACCTGCAAAGGCATAGGTCATCTGAGGCATCCAATAAAAACACTTGTCATTGGAAATTAATAGAGGAACTTTATTGGGGAAGGGTGTACAATGGATTATATGGGAACACATACACTTATAGGGATAGGGACAGAAGTATGCAGTGCCTATTCTGTCCACAGAGGCAATAGAATGGAATGTCTGGAAAGGGGAAAGTGTAGAATGTGGGGAAAGATCAAAAGGAGAGAAGCAGTTGATGGCAGTTGGAGCAGCAGCAGCAGCAGAAGCTTGGGAGAGGACCAAGGAAGCATAAGAAGGAAGAACAGAGGGAAGACTTCAAAGAGAGAGGTCAAAAGGGAGCCAGAACATCAAAACCGGTAGGTTGGATGGAAAAGACTGTGAATTAGACTTCTCCAGCTTTCAGCAGGAAACTGAAACCATTTTCTGTGGTTTGTGGTTGGGTGGGTTCCTTTTTGTTCTATATATTCACTGTATAATGAATTTGTTGGGTTCGCTATTCATATACAGGCTCCCTTTCTGCATCCATCTTGGAATGGAAGGAGCCTGATGGAGTTGGTCTTTCAGCAGAGTGGATTATTACTGATGCAATATAGAGAAATGTTTTGGGGAAGCACTTACACACAGAGGGAAGAACCCCTTATGCCAAAGGTGGCTTCCTTATTCTGGAGTAGTGGTTTTCAGGATGTGTTCTGGAGAACTGTAGGATCCCTTTAAAGGTTTTTGGCGGTTCTTTCATGCAGAGCCAATTATGATGGGTCAGCTGCTCTGAAATGCAGCTCATCTACCACATCAAACATACATTTAAATGCACATCTCCATTTGTGAATGCCGCATCACAGTGCTGGTTCGAGCTGCTGACCATTATGTGAAGCCCACCATGCTGGTTTTCCATGACTCCAGACGGCATGCCAAAGCTCTGTGGCAAATGAGCTGGACAGTTCCTTGACAGGTGTACAAAATGTGTGTGTGTGGGGGGGGGGGTTGGCAACCGGAGGACATCTGCATTGCATAGTCAAGGGAGCCACAAACCAAATATGGGAGCCAGTGTGGTGTAGTAGTTAGAGCACTGGACTACAGCCTGGGAGACCTGAGTTCTAATCCCTACTCTGCCAAGGGGCTCCCTGGGTGACCTCGGACCCATTTTCTTCTCCCAGCCCACCCTACCTGATAGGGTTATTGACAATTGTGATGATAAAAAAAGGAAGAGGAACTTTTTCGCATCTTCTCAAGTTCCTTGCAGGGAAAGCTAGATTTAAATAAGTGAATAGTAAACTAGTACATGGGTAGATATAATAGAACAAAGCAGATGAGCAGCATGCCAGTTCCCAGTGTTCGTTTCTCTTTCCTCACTAGGAAGAAAAGAGGGAGAGATGTTGTTCCTCCCCTGGCTGATGTTCTGGGGCCTCATCCATCTTACCAAAGTTGGCCCAGTTTCTTCAGTTTCAGCAAGAAATGTGAGTAGAGAGTGGTTCCTGCCTGATTTAGTGACATGGTTCAGGCAGAGGCATTTCAGCAAATATTCCCAGAAGTGTTTGTGTGTGCTGAAGTTCTCCAATAGTTTGAAGGGAGCCTGAAAAGGGAAATCTAAAAACAAACAAACAGAAAATTCATTTCTAAGATATTTCAGCCTCTTCCCAAAGAGTGGCACCTCCCTTACGTAGCTTTGGGAAGCTGGCTTGGGATGGTGTGTGTGTGTGTATCAATTTTTGGCCTTGCACAGGGCAGCTCTTTACCAAGGTCTTACACCTTCCTGCACCTGGTAACTGAATCACCTTTGTCTCTGCCAAGGAAGGAAAGGGAAGCCTGAAGGTACACAGGGCATTGCCTACATTTTGATGCCCAATGTTTCTGAAACTTGTGGTGGTCGTGGTGATGATTGAAGTAAGTCCCCATTAAGGGTGCTCTGGGGGAGTGTCAGGGGCAGGACTTTGGGGTGGGGGGACTCAGACTTAGTCCTAAGCCCATTCAGCTCAGCCACATTACTGGACCACCGGGCATAGAACCTTATTTTAAAGATTTTATTTCCCTCTCCCAGGTTTAAGCAGAGCAGCAGTTCCACTACTGAACAGGGCTTGGATCTCGTCTAACTTAACGCCAGTTTAACTTACTCCAGGCTTGCTTTATGCCAGCTTCTTGTGGATGGGATTGCTCTATTAATTGTAAAAAACCTCTAATGGGTTTCCATAAGATATAAAACTCACATTAAAATTATTGACAAAAGTCAGAAGTTAAAAGCAAGTTGGCTTGAAATCAACAGGAAACTTTGCATATCTGGGCCGGCTTGTTGAAAACAGTGAAGGGAAGACGCCTGCCTAATATCACTGGGCAGGGAGTTCCAGTAGGTACTGCCACATTGAAAATTCAGTTCCTTACACCTGTTGTGACTTCTATCCATAGGAAGAATCCCTTCTTCCTTCAGCTAACAAGACTGTGCTCGGAAGAGGCATGCATCTCAAAGAAGGCGATCTCAACATCACAACCACCCTCTCCACGACATTTTTTAATGTTCCGCATCAGATCCAGTCTAACTATATCATGGACTTCCTAATGTGTGTGCTGGGAGACCGTATATTTGCACGTTTCATGGTCTCCTTCTTTGTGCTTGGGGTTTTGGGAAATGTTGCCATTTTCTCCTATCTCCTTTTCTATATCAAGAGAAATTCCTGGAATGCCTACATCTGGAACTTCGCCATCGCCAACTGTGGCATCTTTCTATTTTTGTGCAGTTCCTTTCTGCTGGCTTTCATTAATTATATTTTTCATTCCTGCGACGCCTTTGAGAAATTGTTCCTCTCTCTGGCCTACTTGCTTTTATACACCCAGTGTAGCTGCATGCATTTCATTGCGGGCATTGGTGTTGACTGGGTCCTCCTTCTCCTCTCTCCAAGCTGGCACAGAAGCCACCAACCAAACCTGTCTTCTCTTATATCGGCTGTCACCTCTATCATCCTGTGGCCCTTGCTGTGCCAACTGCTGTTCTTCTTCAGCCTGGGGTTCGACACGCAAACCGTTGTCATCCTCTCCTTGATCCTTTTCCTCCCTCTGGTGTCCATCTCCTTTCAGACCTTGATCGTCAACACGTGGTACAACTTGGGCCAGCAAAAGAAAATGCGTACGGAGAGAATGCTTGAGATGATTGGATCCATCGTCACCCTGGTGCCTCTCCATCTCTTCTTCACCCAGAACTCTGACTGCGCAATCATCTCATTGTTTTTCATGCTGTATGTTTTGTTTCTGTGTTTTGCAAGGATGAGCTAAGAAGGGTTGAAGTTGGCTTGTAGTACCAAACCTACATCAAGATGAATAAAGCTTGCACACTTCTGTTTTTAAAATATGGCTGTTTGTCCCATACCTTTTTATTTAGAATGTTTTATTTTCAAAAGACAAAAAAGGAGATTCCTAATGCTTTAAATGGATAAGCATCCTATATTCATCACTAAGGCAGAGTAATTCTAAAGCTTCAGGCCTGAGAGTCAAAGGTGGCTTTTCAAGGCTCTCCCATTGGCCCCGAACTCTCTGCAGGGGATCCTCAGACCCAGAGGCCAAAGCCTCTCTCTCTGCCCCTTGGGAATCCCCTCAATCCATACACCCTTCCAAGTCTCTCATCTTACTGTCCCTCTTTTGCAACCCTCTTGAGTTTTTACTTGGCTGAAATGTGCCCTTGTCCTAGAATCATAGAATTATAGAGGTATCCAAAGGGCCCTCCAGTACAACACCTTGTAATGCAGGAATAGTGATGATGTCTCTTGCTTGCCACGATAAGAGGATGGTGGTGTGTGTGTATGTACACATCCTTGATCTTAGTCAAAAGGCTGAGAAGTATAAGCTGCCATTTCCTGTTCAGAGGCATTATTGCTTCTGACCATGGAGGCAGAACAAAAGAGAGGTGGCAATCACTGAACAAAAGGTGAAGACAGCTGATTTCAAGTGCCATTGCCCACTGCATGCTGAGTTTATCTGCAGACATCCAGCAGTGGAGTGACCATGGTGGACACCATGCATAGCACTGGTTGATCAGATGTGCTGTGCTGGAATTTGTCTTCTAATTTCTTGACAGTCATTTCCCTGCCACCCTGTGAAATGAACTTCAAGTTTCTTGCCTCATTCTCTGGGCACTTGAGAATTTCTTTGGTGAATGTGGGTTTCTGAGATTACTTTAGCAGTTACAAGGTGGCCAAGGGTGGCATATGTGTTCTCGTTTCCAGAAAACATTTCTGCAGCACTTTGCAGCCTCCCTAGCTGCCCAGCACTGCCTCAACTGTAAAGCTCCATGGGAGGAACAAACCTATTGATGGTTTCCTGTAGGCTTTAACTGAAGTGTGGGCACCTAGGAAGGCCACAGTGATGCGACAATATGGAGAAAGAAAGAAAGTCCTCAGAATTAAAGGTGACTGCAACAATAACCCTGCAACAATAACTAAAATAACCCCACCCTTGAGGATTTCACAAAACATTTTCTTTCTACTTGTATAATTTTCAAATGCCATTTCTTTTCTTATGAATTAACGAAGGCTTTTTTAAAAAATGTGGGAATTGTTTTTGGCACAACGCCAGTGATCAGAATGTAGGAGCACTTTTTTTTGTTGGTAGGTCCCAGTAGGGAAACAAAAGGATTGAGTGATGATTGCCCTCCTGTTCCTCTTAAAATAGACTTAGTATTCCAATTAAACACTCAAAGTGGCTTAGCACACTCAGCACAATGTGCTCACACCAGCTGTCATGGGAACAGAGGAATGGTGGGAGGAGCTATCTGAGGAAACACAAAGATAGAGAGAAGTCCACAATCAGAGGCAGAAGCTGAAGGAGATGAGTGTCAGGAGGGAAGCCAAGAGGCAGAGATGAGTCATGCTTGTGATGAGTCATGGGTGCCCCCCCTCGCTGTGACAAGCTCCCCTCCCCACTTGTCTCCCAGAACCAGAAGAGGCATGAAAAGAGCAGAGATGCGCACCTAGGTCAAGTCTCAGATTGCTTGGGGAAAGCCCTGAAGAAGAGCACACTTAGAAGCTTGTTAGGAGGTGGGGACTTTCTTGGCAACTGATTCATGGGGTAACAACTACCAAGGATGGACTGCTGTGCTCATCAGACCTGACGCTCAGCCAATTTTGTGTAATTAGTAATTCTTTTACTAATAAAGAATTAACACCAACTTTGAACAACAAGGTTTGCTGCGGGCTTGTGCTTTGACACCTGCAATCACTTCTGTTGGAATTCTCACAACTCTCCTAGAATTTGCAGAACCCTCCATGAGATTTCCACACACACACACACCAGTTCCTTCAGATGTTTTGGCTAAGCTTGGACCTCCAAATTAACTTTGACGTTTTGCTTTAAGTATATCAGAAAAGAAGAAGAAGCTGAGAGACATGGCCTACTTTAAATACTTTGAATTCAAAACAAGAACTCTGTTCCTGTTCTTTCCCTTCATATCTCCCCCCCCCCCAATAATAAAAAATAAAGAGACCATTTCTTGAAGGAAAAACAGAAAGGGAATGCAAAAAAGAAATAAAAAATGCAACCTTACACTCCCCCCCCCACCAGCATCAAGTGGGCCAATATCAAAAATATCAAAAGCTAGCATGAGGTAATGAAGTCATCTCTATTCATAGATCAGCTCACAAAGCACCTTTGGAAGCTTTTCTTTTTAAAAAGTTCTCATTATTCCGGAGCCTTTACTAAATTCTCTAACCCCTCGCTCTTCTACTCATCCATCCTGCCTTCCTCCTGCATACTTTCTCATTACTTCTCAATGCCCCCCCCCCAATCTTCAGGGGAAAGACCTCTGCGGTAAACACATAACGCCAGTGAGTTTTTCAGCAAATTTCCACTTTTACAGTAGGGGCGAAAGAGGAATTTGTTCAGTCCATTTTGACTCATTTCACCTGCAATCCAACACACTCAAACTTGCTTCTGAATCAGAAGGCAATGCCCAGTCATATTGCAAAAAGAGGCGGATTTAGGGGAGCTTAACCGGTTTGGTCAAACACAGAGCACAGTCTCGTGGGCACTGCAGGGGGTGTCACAACGATGATGTAGAATGGAAGGCGAGAAGCTTGGGGGAACCAGACTTTGGCATCATACAGGGTGCTGTTGAAATTTGAGACCCCAAAGGTCTGCCACTGCTGCATACTGCTATGAATTTTGCAAGGCAGTTTCAGTGTGCAAAAAAGGTAAAGGTAAAGGTACCCCTGACCGTTAGGTCCAGCTGCGGACGACTCTGGGGTTGTGGCGCTCATCTCGCTCTATAGGCTGAGGGAGCTGGCGTTTGTCCGCAGACAGTTTTTCCAGGTCATGCAGCCAGCATAACTAAGCTGCTTCTGGCGAACTAGAGGAGCGCATGGAAACGCCGTTTACCTTCCCACCGGAGTGGTACCTATTTATCTACTTGCACTTTGACGTGCTTTTGAACTGCTAGGTGGGCAGGAGCTGGGACTGAGCAACGGGAGCTCTCCCCGTCGCAGGGATTCAAACTGCTGACCTTCCGATCGGCAAGCCCCAGGCTCTGTGGCGCCACCCACGTCCCACACTGAACTACAATTCCCATCTGCCCCAACAAGCATGACTGGGGATGAATTGAGTTGTTTAGCAAAATCTGGATGGACAAAAGTTCCCCAGACCTGATGGACTGGCAGTATTTTTCTCATTTATTTATTTAGGTGAGAAATGAGCCTGCTTCCCTTTGCCCTTCAGTGATTTATTTGCCTTCCTGTCCCCCCTGAAAAAAATCCAGTGGAAGCCCATTGTGTCATCTCCTTCCATTTGGTTGGGGGTTTCCCATATTATCCTGCTGGGGAGGGAAAGAGCAGAGTTATGGTGGCTACACCACCAGCGCAACGTTAAGTCTGCATTCCAGGAAACCACCGCCTGCAGAGCTTAGTCATCTTTTTCACTGAATCAGCTGCTTTAATAGGTTTCCAGAGCACTGTGTCCTCCGCTCGCCCTGATCCATTCCCCCCTACTCCTTTTCCATTAGCAGAAGGATTTGTCATATTTTAAGGAAGAGTCAAGGGGAGAAAAATTACCCCGAAGACACTTCACAATTGATTAGGCTTCCAAATTGACTCCCCTGTGCTTGTTCCTAAATTTAGTTTGAGACAGTGATTTGCCATAAATTGTCATGTTGGTGAGAAAGCCTTGCAAGAGGCAGGTGCGGGTGGTGCCAGATTTTGGCATCAAGTGAGGGAGAGACGCTCAGCAACCTTGCACATTGCTTTGTGTGCCAGCTCAAGGGATAATTTATGGCCGTGGCAGTCTCCACACCTGCAAAATGAAGGAGCAGCTGTGTCCATTCCTGTCCAAATCATTTGCTTTGGGGGAAAAAAGGTGCGCCTACAGGATCAGGATATAAGCTTTCACCAGAATAGCAAATTTTCAGAAAGCTTTCACTACCTCTCCTATAGGAGGCAGATGGCTGTTTTTAGAGGTGATAATGGTGGGCAGAACACATTAGATGTCATTTATTATAAAATTGCTATCTCACCTTTTCCCCAAGATACCATCCATGGCTCTTCCTGGCACCTTCCAAGTTATCTTGGAAGTATGTTTCTGAGCACAATTCAAAGTGTTGGTGCTGACCTTTAAAGCCCTAAACAGCCTCAGCCCAGTATAACTGAAGGAGTGTCTCCACCCCCGTCTTTCAGCCCGGACACTGAGGTCCAGCTCTGAGGGCCTTCTGGTGGTTCCCTCACTGTGAGAAGCAAGGTTACAGGGAACCAGGCAGAAGAGGGCCTTCTCGGTGGTGGCGCCCACCCTGTGGAATGCCCTCCCACCAGATGTCAAGGAAATTAACAACTATCTGCCTTTTAGAAGACACCTGAAAGGCAGCCCTGTTTAGGGAAGCTTTTAATGTTTGACGTTTTATCGCTTTATTATTATTATTATTATTATTATTATTATTATTATTATTCTGTTGGGAGCCACCCAGAGTGGCTGGGGAAACCCAGCCAGATGGACTGGGTATGCATGCATGCATGAATATTATTATTATCATTATCATTATCATCATCTTCAAAGCAACCCACAGAGGTATAGATTATTGATGAGAAATAAGTGCAAGGTTGCCCAATGAGCTTCATGATTGAGCAGGGATATAGACCCTGGTCTCTATGGTCCTAGTCGGACACGCTAACCACTACACCATGATGGATCTGTGATCGCATTGCTTGGTGATGTTCAACAACAACAAGAAGTTTATTTGCGTAGCCAACAGGCCATAGCATCAAAGGACAAACACCGACAAAAATACATTACAAATATAGTTACCGTATAATCTTATGGCCTATTAAAACCCTAGGTAAAAGCTGGATTATCATTCATCAATGACCCTCTGTCCCATGGGCGGCGGCCTTTACTCTGGTAGATTGTTCCAGGTCGGTTAAGTAAATAGACCAGCCAAATTGAAAGAATATAAATATAAATGGTCAGGACAGGGAGAAAGATAATAATAACCAGATGCAGATAAATTAATAATCTCAGTACTTAAAACTTGGCAGAGATAATAAAATACTAATAATAAAACATAATGATAATAATGAAAGATCCTAAGCGAGAAATCCGGATGACGACACTGATGTCATTCAGATGGCAGCTCTCAGTCTCATTGCTCTCTCGATAAATTTAGCAACCTTCTCTGTTGTCGAGCTGTTCTGGACGGCTAGGAGTGAGAACAATTTGGCTTCACAAGAGCGGCCCGGGATGGCAGATAGGAGTGGCGTGATGGTCTCGTCCCTGAGATCTTTATATAGGGAACAAGACAGGAGAACGTGTGACACAGTCTCTACGTAGCCAGCTCCACAGGGGCAGAGCCAGTTCTCGAATGAAATTTTTTGATATCTACCTTCAAGAACAGCTGAGGGTAACATATTTAGTCTGGCCAATGTAAAGGCCCGCCTGAGTTTTGGAATAGTTAAGGTAGACAAATAAGGTGCCCGAAAATCAAAGTGGGAGGGGGGCAGATAAGCGTACCAAGCACTAAATTTCTTAATATAAGCCAGATTATTCTGCTGCTCAATATCCTTCATGCGCTGGTCAATAATGGTTTTTGCCTTGGGGAGACCCATTTTCAGGAGATGCTGTGCTTGGAGGCCACATGTAAGTAGTTTTTGATGCACTAGTTTGGACCACCAACTTCTATGAGCATCTCGTGCTACTAGAGGTAGTAGTCTGGATGGGTTTAAATTTAAGCGAAGCCAATAGTTGAATGTTCTTAACCAGGTTCGGGTTTCAACAGAGAGGAGGCCAGTCTCCAGCCGTAGGGCCGCATTTGGTGCACATGGTGGAACGGCTAGAATCTGTCTTAAGAATTTAGACTGGACCGTTTCAAGTGTGCGGCAATGATTTCCCGTCCAGATTTGGGCCCCATAGAGTAATTGCGCCAAGAGTTTTGCTTGGAAGACCTCCAGAGCTGCTGGGATATGTCTGCCCCCCTTCGTAAAGTAAAAGCGAGACAGTATTTTGGCGCTTTGAGATGCTTTTTCCCTAGCATATTTATGATGGGCCTCCCAGGTCCCAGATGACTGGAAAACTACTCCGAGGTATTTGAAAATTTTGACCTGTTCTATTGGCTGATTGTCCATCCCCCATCTGTGATGTCTGTGTCTCCTAGCGAAGACCATGACTTTGGTTTTTTGGTGATTAACCACCAGTTGATCTCTCCTGCAGTAGGCTGAGAATTCTCTTAGTAGCCTTTTGAGGCCTACTTTATTTCGTGATAAGAGAACTAAATGAATGGTGATGTTCTCAGAAAAGATCATTCTCATGTAGAGTTCACCGCCTCTCACTTTCCACAGCACTGCACATTTCTCTGGCCTCTGCACTGCAAAATGTCTCTCCCTTTGCAGACCATGAAAATGTGGGTCCCCCGTTGGCTGTTTTTCTGAGGGGAAATTTGGGAATGTGAAAATATGAAAACTATTGATGCAACTTTCCCCACAAAACGTGACAGAATAAAGCACTGAGTGGCAGCCAGGTTTGGAATAAGCAACATTCTTTCATTAACACCCAGTGTACCAAGAGGAAAACTTTACACCAGCTTAATTACACCAACTTAGCTTCTTGTGTATAAGTTTGCTGCTTAGTTGGCCTTAGGGAAGACAGTTGTTCTCCCTCTCAGCTCATATGCTATGGATGGGGATAATGCTAGCACTCACAGACAGCATGATATAGTGGTTAGAGGGCCGGCCTAGGACTGTGCAGACCACAGTTCAAATCCTCAAGTAGCCATGAAGTTTTATGTGAAGAGCCTAGCCTAATTCAACCTAATTTTCCTCACCAGGTTGTTGCAAGAAAAAAAATGGAGGATGAATTCACAGGGAGAAGGACATAACTAAAATATCAAAGATGAATAACATTGCTCCACTTTACAGGGCCATTAAAAGTTATACAGAATTCATTCAAGTGGGTTGCATACTCGCAACCTACTATAAATGCTAATTATATTTACTAATCTAAAGAAATATCTGACAAGTGTTTTGAGGTTAAGAATAAAAGGAGTTAGGGGAAAAAATACCCTGTTTTGTTACCAAAAGAAGGTGTTATTTTGCCTGTTTCATTTATGTGTAAGGAAAAGTCAATACTCTTTTTGTTTTGTTTTTGTTTTCAAGGTGTGGCAGGATATAATTTAGCAGAGAAAAAACAGAATATTTTTCTGCTTCTTTGTATTTTCTTTCTGAAGCTCTTCCTGTGGTGGTAGACACAGAATCTGCAGGGGGTTCTAATAGATTTCCATTTCAGAAAGACCTTTGATTACAGTTTTGTTCCCAGAAATATTGGCTGGGGCATGGAGGATGCTACAGGCAGTGAAGGCACTTCCTAAGGAGCACAATGAATCCTGTCCAGTGACAGAGATTAAAACAAGAATAGTTTTATTATATACTGAAATGAGAATTACCGGATCTCAAGGTATGGCTGCAGAGTGATAAGCGCCCTTCTCATATTATCCCCAGGGGGAAGTGAAATCTCAGGGCAAGAAGGTAAAACTATGCCGTAAAATATAGCTTGAGCTGCAGACTTTAGCAGATGGCAGTGTTTCTCTTGATAGCATGAACAGGTTCACCAGCTCTTCTTAAAAGCACAGGAACAGGCTAGGTCCTTGTGTGTTGGCAATTTGGCAATCTTACCTATATGGCATGCATTCACAGTAAGGATTATGTTTAGCACTGCAGACCCTCCAAGTTTCCCTATTTACCAGGGATAGTCCCAGATTTAAAGAAGCTGTTTGATCCCAGAATGTCCCTATTTTCCTTAGGGTGTCCCTATTTCCATCAGAGAAATATTGGAGGGTATGATGTTATTCAACTCCCAAGCCATCTGAAGGCAGCCTTGTACAGGGAAGATTTTTAATATTTAAGGCATGGGTAGGCAAACTAAGGCTGGATCCAGCTCAATCACCTTCTAAATCTGGCCTGCGGACGGTCCGGGAATCAGCGTGTTTTTACATGAGTAGAATGTGTCCTTTTATTTCAAATGCATCTCTGGGTTATTTGTGGGGCATAGGAATTCGTTCGTTCATTCATTTTTTCAAAATATAGCACAGTGTCTGATGGACAGTGGACCGGTCCCCTGCTGAAAAAGTTTGCAGACCCCTGGTAATGTGTTACCGTATTTTTCGCTCTATATGACGCACTTTCCCCCCTTCAAAAACTAAGGGGAAATGTTTGTGCGTCTTATGGAGCGAATGCAGGCTCCTTGGCTTCAGCTATAGCAACGCGAAGCCTCCAAAGTGCAGAGGGAGAGCTCCCCCCGTGTTGCTACGCATTGCTTCGGAGGCTTCACATTGCTTTCGCTGAAGCTGCCTGAAGCCCCCTGAGTGCTGCGCTCCAAAGGCTTGCGGATAGCCGCCTGAAGCCTGGAGAGAGAGAGGGGTCGGTGCACACCGATCCCTCTTGCTCTCCGGGCTTCGCTTCACTGGAGAGGCACTGCACAGTTTTCCCTCTCTGCGCAGCGCCCCTTCAGTGATGCGGGAGGACAAATGCAAGGGGCTCCATTTCTCCTCCCGCTTCACTGAAGGGGTGCTGCGCAGAGAGGGGGAGAATTTTTTCCCCCCGTTCTCCCCCCCCTCTATGGTCCGCTTCGTCCTATAGAGTGAAAAATACGGTATTTTGTTCTTATATGTGTGTTGGAGCTCCCCAATGGCATCTCCAGGTAGGGCTGGGAAAGCCCCCCCAACTAAAATCCTGGAGAGCCATTGCCAGGCAGCGTAGACAATACTGAGCTACATTGGTCAATATGGACTGATTCAGTACCAGGTATCTTTCTGTGCCAATGGCCTCTGTATCAGAGTGGTCGCTTCTATATCAGAAAATACAAGAGCCCTGCTGGATTAGGTCAAGGGGTCTTCTAGTCCTGTATTCTGTTCTCACAGTGGCCAGCCAGATGCCTGTGGGAAACCCACAAGCAGAGCACAAGAGCACTCTCCACTGCTGTGGTTTCCAGCGATTGGTATTCAAAGGCATTGCTACCCCCAACTGTGGAAGCAGCAACAATTCTCCTGCTATCTCTGTTCCGGACCCTGGTCCCATGCGTTGGTACAGATACCTCCAGAACATGCCTGTCCCTCATCCCGCCAGAAACTATACCAGCATGACTCTTTTGTCGCCCTTTTTCCAATCTGTTTCATCTGACGCCCTGTCTAAGCGATCTTCACCTGGCAGTCACACCTCCTGTCAAGTCTAATATAAACTCCAAGCACTTTAGCTTCAGATGCTGTAGAAACCAGAAGGTCTCCTGCAGAGTGCCTCTTGTTTTCCTCCTCCATCTGCAGCTGCTGCTCACAACATCATCTCAGGTGACTCCCCATCTGCTTTGATTAATGCACTACCTCTTTGTAATGCAGTCCCTATCTCCGCCGGGGCCCCAGTTTGCTCTCCGGCAAAGTCTACTTTCCCAGAATGTGTGCAGCTGAGTTTTCCGTATTTGGGGAAATCGCCGCCAACATCTGGCTTTCAGACTGTGTCCCAGTTTATCCCATGGGTATAACCTGTTGCAGCAAATTCAACAAAGAGCCAACTGAGGATCACAATGAATGCAGCTGATGAATTTGATTCTTGTCCACAAAAGCATATGCTGTAATTAAGTTGCTGGTCTTTAAGAAGGCACAACTCTCTTGCTTGGCTTTTGTTGTTGCTCCATTCATTAAGTGTATCTTAATGGGACTGCAGGGCCTGCTCCCTTCCAGGGCCTTTTCCAACTGGCCCAGGGGGCGTGGCCCAGGCCCTCTCTCCCAGCTATAAAGGGACTCCTGCTGCGGTGAGGCCTCGGACCATCGGCTGGGTTAGGACTGCAGGGCCTGCTCCCTTCCAGGGTCTTTTCCAACTGGCCCGGGGGCGTGGCCCAGACCCTTATTTGGAACAAACTTTTGGGGAAGCTGGGAAGTGTTCTGCAATTGCTTCCCTGTTCCAAGTGGTTAATGTGTTTTAAAATGTCCTCAAGCAGTCGGTGGCAATTTAAATTTGTATTTCTTTTTTCCTTTTTTCCCTTGTTGGGGGTGGGTGGGTGGGATGGATATTTGGTTGGGGATTAATTTTAGTATAATTGTTCTGTTTTTGTTTTCTGTTGTTTTATTGGTTCTGTATAGTTTGTGTTTTGTTTTTAAGGGGCGGGATCAGGGCTGCCTGGGAGTGGGGCCCCAACCAACACGATGGCTGGGACAAGTTCCACAGGGGGGGAAGCACTGGGACATCCAATCTCGGTGATCATGGGCAGGAGGAGGAGTTACGCTAAGACCAGACCATGTCATTACCAAGGAGGCAGGTTTAGTCGTTGTTTGAAGACTATCCCTGCCTCCGGGTCTGGCCTTGACCAGATGGATACTGGAATCAACAGGGGAAACCCACATAACCTGAAGGTGTTGCTGTGTAATGCCAGGTCAATGATGAATAAAACCACTGCCATCCACGACCTGATTGTGGATGGAGGATTTTACCTGGCATGTGTGACAGAGACCTGGTTGGAGGAAGCAGATGGGCCTGTCCTTGCTGCCGCTTGCCCACCAGGTTTCTCTTACACACAGCAACCCAGGTCATGTGGGCGGGGAGGGGGGTTGCAGTGATTTTTAGGAAGTCATTAGTTTGCATCAGGCGTCCTATTGGGAAGACCCAGTTTTCTGAGTGCATATTCTGGAAGTTGGGCAATAGGGGCAGTACAGGATTCCTTTTGGTGTACCGACCTCCCCGCTGCACCAAGGATTCCCTGTCCGAGCTGCTTCAGGTCGCGGCGGATGTTCTCCTGGACACACCTAGTTTGGTTGTCCTAGGGGATTTTAACATCCACGCCGACACGACCTTACAAGGGGCCGCTCGGGACTTCGTGGAAAGCATGGCCTCCATGGGGCTGTCCCTGAATAAGTTGGGCCCAACTCATAGTCATGGACATGCCTTAGACCTGGTATTCACCTCTAGTGACGTGGGTGATCTGACACTAAGTAAAAGTGAAACCAAAGAAGTGCCATTGTCAGATCACTTCCTGGTGCAACTGGACTTCTCCGCGACCCTTCCCCTCTGCAGGGAGGTGGGACCAATTCGGATGGTCCGCCCCCGCCACTTAATGGATCCAAATGGTTTCCAGAGAGTGGTAGGGGATGCTTTATCCCATGTTAATGGCCTTTCAGCTGATTCCCTGGTGGCCCGCTGGAATGCGGAGTTAACCAGGGCTATCGACTGTCTGGCTCCGAAGCGCCCTCTCCGATTGCATGGAGCCCGGACAGCCCCGTGGTTTTCTTCAGAGCTGAGGGCGATGAAACAATCGCTGAGACGGCTAGAGCATCGGTGGCAGAAAACTCACTCCGAATCTGACCGGACACAGGTTAGAGCTCAACGTCGAGCCTACCAAGTGGCGATAGCGACGGCGAAGAAGACTTTCTTCACCGCCTCTATTGCATCTGCAGAAAATAGTAGCAGGAGACTCTTTCAGGTGGTCCGCAATTTAACGGAACTGCCTTTACCACCGGGGCCTTGTAAAGACCCCAAGATCTCCTGCAGCGATTTTGCAAAGTTTTTTGCAGATAAAATCACTCATATTCGGAAGGAGCTAGACATCACTGTGGGAGCAGGGCCAGGGCGGGAGAGTGCTAGAGCTCTGTCTGGTCAAGTTGCATGGAATCAATTTCAATCCGTTACCCCCGAGGATGTGGACAGGCTGCTTGGACGTGTGAAACCAACCACCTGTCTCCTTGATCCTTGCCCATCCTGGCTAATAAAAGCAAGCCGGGAAGGGCTGGGCGATGGGCTCTGCGGGGTGGTGAATGCTTCCCTCTGTGAGGGAACATTCCCAGATCCGCTGAAAGAGGCGGTCATTAAACCGCTTCTTAAAAAACCATCTTTAGACCCGGCCAGTATGGCCAACTATCACCCAGTCTCAAATCTTCCATTTTTGGGCAAGGTGATTGAGCGTGTGGTTGCTGAACAACTCCAGGCACGCCTGGAGGATGCGGACCATTTGGATCCCTTCCAATCGGGGTTCAGGCCTCATCATGGGACTGAAACTGCCTTGGTCGCACTGGT